CTCTTGCCTTTCAATCCTACAGGAGGGTAGGGGTTGAGAGGGGACAAAAATCCAGCATTAGGGTAGGAAGTTCAAGTGAACTTTGCCCAGCAAAAAGCAGATCATCAATGTATTTCACTCTCAGTGGCTTCATTTGTTTACTGCCCACCAGCTCTGTGCATCCTCCATTGTCACTGAGGAGTCTTGGTGAGGATGGTGACCATGTTCTGCCCTGTGTGGCTTCTCCATTTTTGCCATGTGCTTAGAGTGACCTGTCAGGATATTTTTGCATCTTTAATGACCTGAGTGCTTGTAGACTGTGTCAATTTTATCTTGCATTTGAAAGCTACAGACTAGTGAACCCTGAAGCCAAGTTGAATGCGGAGTCCAGAGCTGTTAATAAACCTGAGGAGGCTCTCTCCTTAGTTACCTGAAGCATGTGTTAAAGGAGCAGAGGAAACCAGCTGGCTGAGACACCTCTCTCCCGTCACAGTGGGGGCATCTTAGTACAGGGCAAAATTCTTTGGGGTGTCTCAAACACCTTCTCAGGGCTCACGGTGACCTGCTCTCTATGTCTTGTCACAATGCATGTTCACTTGTGTTCATTCATCTACCCACAGGGGCCTCCAAGGAGCCACCACCCACACCAACCAGTCTCACAAAGAAGCAAGTGAAGCAGAAAGTGAAGAGCCTGACCACTCAGCTCCAGGTGATGACTGCCCAACGGAATGATCTGAGAGACCGCCTCATATTAGTAACCGAAGGATCCTTGGACAACAGGTATTTACTGTTTCAAAATCCATGGTGACTGTCTTGGTTTCACAATTTCATCCTTAGTTTATTTTGTCTAAGAAATGGGCTTCTGGGAGGTTGGGTGTCCCTTTGCCCAACACCATTTCTCTAAATGCTTCCCTGAAGCAAACCTGGGCAGGATGAGATGGGGACATAGACGGTTCTGCTTCCTCCAAATGAAAACCATAGCCTATGACCTGAATCACATGACTCAGGGATCAAGGCAGTAGTGTGTGAGTTCCCAGCATGCATTTGGAGAGATCCTGTAAAGTGGTGGCTAGTGTGAGAATGCTGTGATTTTTTTTTACTTGCCTGGAAAGACATTCTGTGCTGGATGCTTCTAGTAGCAGCTGGAGGGTTTTTGTACCACATCCTAATATGTGGCAGCAAGGCCTGGTACTGATGTCTGCTGCTCTTGGTCCTCTCTAAGATGACACAATGGCATTCATTAATTTGTCATCTCAATGAGTGCATTTTATCACCTTTCCCTCTCTCAGTTTCTCTCTGACTCTCTCTCTCTCTCTCTCTCTCTCTGACTCTCTCTCTCTCTCTCTCTCTCTCTCTCTCTCCCTCCCTCCCTCCCTCCCTTCCATCTTTCTGTATCTATGTGTTTGTGTGTTTGTGCATATGTGTCCCTCCTCACCCTACAATCAACTGTCTATGGTTGAGCATGAAGTGTTGCTTGTCTCAGTATCTAGGTGTTGTCTACATCTTATACTGGGAGCACCATTTTGAGCAGCATAGCCCTTTGCCAGTGTGTTCACCTTGGTGTCAACAGGGAATGCTCTGGAGGAATTTGTGAAGCTGTCATAATATTGAGTCCCATCCTCAGAAGTATTCATGATGTGATTTTAGCCTCCATGTCAATATAGGCACCCTGGAATGAGAATCTCTTATTTGAAGACAGCAGAAACATCACAGTTTCTGGTGGGCCCAGACCTGTGATAGACTCGTGGGAACTCCATACCAAGCTGTGCAGGACTCCTGAGGGAGTTCATTCAGTCCCAGCTTCATCCCTCTTAACACCCTGCCTCTGCTGGCCTTGGACCAGAAGAGCAAGTGTAATAAGCAGCCAGAGGTCCCAGTACATAGGAGCCAGGCT